TTCCACCCAGTGACTCCTCATTAATTTTTTTGCTCAGTCAGTTCCCTATTTTCCTTCCATTATGCCCTATGTCACCATCCCATTCCATATCATGTGAGCGCTGAATTTTTGTTCTTCATTTTTTTATGATCTTACATGCATTGTAGGTCACGCACTCAAGGTGAGAGCACTGTGAACACAGTAGTGATACGAGAAGATGGTTATTCCGTACCCTATTGCACGTGGACTGGTTGTGTGCAGGAAAGTGTACCTTTTTGATATATTAAGGACTGGCACCATTACAATATATTTGATTATATGAACTGCACAAGCACTTTCTAAGGTGTACTTAGAGGCTGATATATTACCAGTAACTGGCATCCACTGTATGTATATGCACATAGCATAACACCAGCCAATTATTTTATTCTCTGTCAGGGGCGGACTGACAACTCATGGGGCCCACGGGCAATAGGGGATCATGGGGCCCCTGTGTCCTTGCCCAAACTCAAAAAAGCCTATGAAAAAGGTACCAGGGGCATCTTATGGGGCCTCCTACTGACCCCAGGGCCCTCGGGCAGTGCCTGAGTTTCCAAATGGTCAGTCCGCCCCTGTTCTCTGTTATCTTTGGAAATCGTATGCACGCCCCATGGCGTGTGATCAGGGAGTCGGGAAAAAGGACTAGGAAGGGACAGCTGGCTCACTGATAATGACCCGTGGTGCATTCGCTATCTAATACCACAAGGTCTCCAGGGATGTATCTCAGGAGGTTGCAGACAACTAAGGTTGTCATTCAAGCAAAAATCTAGTAAGCATGGTGAGAGTTCCCCAAAAAATGTCAATAAAACAAAAATAAAAATGCCTGATTGTGGGAGAGGAAGGAGGCAGGAGTGCAGGATCGCCTTTAGATTTACCAAAAATATATAATAGGAGGACACAGCATCTATCCAATCACTCAGCCTGAGCCCATCTGTAGAGACGCTGGGGTAGCCAGGCATCTGCATGTGGGGAGAGATACTGGGGATTCTGTGAAAAATAGTTGATGGGTGAAGGGTGTGTACTAATGAGGTCAGTGCAGGATGTGTGCGCTAATGAGATCAGCTGGTAATCTACTTCCAGGTCCTACTGGTTCCTCCGTCCTCTGTCTACATTCCAGGAACGGAAAAAGCTTTCTAAGAAATTCTAAGAATAAGGTAAGGCCTTGCTCTCCAGATCAAAGAGAGCTTGTATATTTTTGCAACTGAGGTAGTTTAACCACTTCCCATCCACCCTATAGTAGAAATACTGCTACAGGGCAGCGCAGGTGCACAAAATCACGTATATATACGTGATTTTGCCATTCCGGGTAGGGGGCACACGCACGCCCTACCCGCGCTGCCATTTGCAGCCGTCAATTACCAGGTCCCGCCATTAATTACTCACCGGCGCCCTGTGATTTCTGAAGATCTCCAATGGGGAGGAGGACTGTTTTGTTTACTAACAGTTCTCCTCCCTGTCAGCTCAGGCACACTGCTTTGGATGGCTGTGCATCCAGAACAGTGTGATTACAGTGAAGCACACAGACACCGCCCCCTAGTAAAACACAGCCAGCACACAGTTAACCCTTTGATCGCCCCTCATGTTAACCCCTTCCTGCCCAGTGCCATTAGTACCGTGTCAGTGCTTTTTTTTAGCACTGATCACTCTATTGGTGTCACTGGTGATGTCAGTGATACCAAGTCAGTTCCTCCCTGTGTCAGAATGTCTGCCGCAGTCTCACTATAAGTCGCTGATCATTGCCATTACTAGTAAAAGTAACAAATAAAATTAAAAATCCCAGTATATATACCGCCATTTGTAAAACGCTATAATTTCACGTAAACCAATTAATGTACACGTATTGGTTATTTTTTTAGCGAAGACATGGAGCAGAATACATTTTGGTGTAAATTTATGACAAAATTAGATTTTTTTAATTTTTTTAATGGACATGTTTAATAGCAAAAAGTCAAAAATATTGTTTTTTTTCTCAAAATTGTTGGTCTTTTTTATAGCGCAAAAAGATTAAAAACGCAGAGGCGATCAAATACCACCGAAAGAAAGCTAAATTTGTTGGAAAAAAGGACGTAAATTTAATTTGGGTGCAGCGTTGCATGACCGCGCAATTGTCAGTTAAAATAACGCAGTGCTGTATCGCAAAAAAATAGCCTGGTCAAGAAGAAGGGTAAATCCTCAGGAGGGCAAGTGGTTAATGGTACACTATATTGCCAAAATGTAACAGGACCCCCCTCCAAATCCAAATGTGATTCAGGTGTTCCAATCACTTCCATGGCCACTGCTTCTACAAACATTGGTAAAAGAATGGGTCGCTCTCAGGAGCTCAATGACTCCAAGCGTGGTCCCGTGCTAGGTGGACACCTGTGCAGTAAGTCCATCCGTGACATTTCCTGGCTACTAAATATTCCACGCTCAACTGTTAGTGGGATTATAACAAAGTGGAAGCAACTGGGAACAACAGCCACTCAGCCACCAAGTGGTAGGCCACGTAAAAGGACACAAGCACACAGTGCGCAGAAGTCGCCAACTGTCTGCAAAGTCATTAGCTGAAGACCTCCAAACTTTATGTGGCCTTCAGATTAACACACCAACAGTGTGTAGAGAGCTTCATGGAATGGGTTTCCATGGCCGAGCAGTTGTATCCAGACAAGTGCAATGCAGAGTGTGTAGTAGTAGTGGTGTAAAGCAGGCCGCCACTGGACTCTAGAGCAGTGGAGACGTGTTCTCTGGAGTGATGAATCATATTTCTCGGTATGGCAATCTGATGGACGTGTCTGGGTTTGGCAGTTTCCAGGAGAATGGTATTTGCCTAACTGCGTTGTGCCAAGTGTAAAGTTAAGTGGAGGGGGGATTATGGTGGGGGGTTGTTTTTCAGGGGTTGGGCTTGGCCCCCTAGTTCCAGTGAAGAGAACTCTTAAGGCGTCAGCATAGCAAGACATTTTGGACAATTTCATGCTACCAACTTTGTGGGAAGAGTTTGGGGATGGCCCCTTCCTGTTCCAACATGACTGCGCACCAGTGCACAAAGCAAGGTCCATAAAGACATGGAGGAGTCAGTTTGGGGTGGAGGAACTTGACTGGCCTGCACAGAGTCCTGACCTCAACCCCATAGAACACCTTTGGGATGAATTAGAGCGGAGACTGCGAGCCAGGCCTCCTCCCCCGACATCAGTGCCTGACCTCACAAATGTACTTCTGGAAGAATGGTCAAACCTTCCCATAGACACCCTCCTAAACCTTGTGGACGGCCTTCCCAGAAGAGTTGAAGCTTTTATAGCTGCAAAGGGCGGGGCCAACTCAATATTGAACCCTACGGACTAAGACTGGGGTGCCAGTTTATGAGCGTGTAAAGGCAGGCATCCCAATACTTTTGGCATTATAGTGTAGATGAATGGAGGAGGTAGACGGAAAGGGTGGGCTAAGTCAGGAACTCTCAATGACTGTCTGTCACAGGTCCATCAGCTCTATTAACCCCTGCAGCACTGGAAGATAATGGTGGCAGGGGTGGGGGTGTGTGTGTGGGGAGCGGGTTGTCAGAGGAGAAAGATTTCTACTAAACCAAGAGACAACAGCACAAGGGACACCTCGCACTGATAGTAAGTAATGTCCCTTGTACTGATTTTTTTTTTTTTGCTAAACTTAGACTTTGATGTGAAAGAATAATAATTCCGCAATGTTACACTTGTTTGTGAACTAAGCCACTCAATGAAAAAAAAATACATGTTCTGAGACAGGGGCGGACTGACAACTCATGGGCCCCCTGGGCAATAGGGGATCATGGGGCCCCTGTGTCCTTGCCCAAACTCAAAAAAGCCTATCAAAAAGGTACCAGGGGCATCTCATGGGGCCCCCTACTGACCCCGGGCCCTCGGGCAGTGCCCCAGTTTCCAAATGGTCAATCCGTCCCTGTTCTGAGATTAAATTACAAATGGCATTATATTAATTGGTGTGGTTTGGTGACTTAACCCCAAGGTAGAAATCTTTCAATAATATATATCAACCATTAGGTGGCTCTGCAGCACCACAAGTTGTTCCATGCGGATCATGTTTGGAAAGATGTACATTGTAGCCTGAGAATTGTTTGCAGACATTTAAGACAAGCAATGTGTTGACTGTACTTGAGGGAGAATGCACCTATATCTTAGAGAGATATTTCACTTCTCTTTAATAGGGATCACGGTTGTCTCCACGCTGCCGATCTGGCAGATTTGTACTAGCTACACATATATGTCTCTATACACTTAAAATGGGACATTTAATTAAAAGTAAAAGTTCGACTCATCCTCTTCCTCCCCTCCCCCTTCCAAAAATAGCATTTTTTTTTTTAATGTGGGCACCATTTTCTGTCAGGTACACACTCCCATTTTCGTAATTCTCCCCTAGGCCAATATATTTAGAAATCCACTATAAATTTCTTTAACCACTTGCCTACTGGGCCAATTCTGATATTTTTCTCTCCTATATGTAAAAATTAGAATTTTTTGCTAGAAAATGACTTCGAACCCCCAAACATAAAATTTTTTACCCAAAGGCCCTAGAGAATGAAATGATCGATGTGAAAATTTTTTTTTATGCCACACAGTAGTTGTGCAGCAGTTGTTTTAAAGAAAGTATTTGCCAACAAATACACTTTAACTTCCCTAGCGGTATGATTATTTCAGATTTTTGGTGCTGAAAGCGGTACCATTATTTTGCATGGAAATATGTTTGTTTTTTTATTGTAGGCCTGTAATTTTTAGGAATAACTCACTGAAATCTGTCCGAACAAGAGTCTATTAAACATGATGATAAAATTTGAAACACGAAATCATAAATTATAATATAATAAATAATCATAAAAAATAATAATATAATAATAATACATTTAATTCAATAATATATTCAAACCAAAAACACTGAAATTTGAAATAGAGCGCCAAGTTCGCACATTGCTGAGCAAAGTCGCAAAATGTCTGATGACGAATTTCCCCACGAATCATTATCACTCAATTCTGCAAGTGGTTCTGATTTACTATCGCTCTTCTCCAGCTGATCTAAACCCGCTTTTGACCTAAAGGGACACTTTTTGGACGCCATGGACTTTTCTCAGTTTCCAGGCAGAAAGAACAGACAAAATGCAGGCAGGGCGCCGGACAAAGCACTCGGGACAAAATGTATGTGAAATGGTTTGATACAGTAATGTTTTGCTATGTAAAATGTGTTTGGAAAAAAATTACATTTTTTAAAATTTTCAAATTTCCCGCCACCGGCGGCGCCCGTACGTCCCAACGTCACAGGGACCGGAACACAGAAGCCGGATCCCGGCATCGGCCAGAGGAGATGGCCGGGGATGCTGCAGGGGACACATCGCGGGGAGCGCAGGAAAAGGTAAGCGCTGCAGGGACTCCCTGAGCAACGCCGCACGGTAAGCCCGAGTGTAGCTCGGGGTTACCGCTTTTGGCACTGACATTTTACCCCAAGCTACACTCGGGAATACCGCTAGGGAGGTTAATGAATTTTAGTGAACACAAACACAATATAATACCAGATATTTTTGTAAAATATAAAAGATGATATTGCACCGAGTAAATAGATACCAAACATGTCACACACTAGTGGACTGGTGACAAACTACAGTGCTTTAAATTTTCCATAGGCAATGCTTTGAAAGCCTTTACAGAGGACCAGTTTAGAGTGACACAGGAGGTCTGGGGCTAGAAATATTGCTCTCACTCTTACGTTCGGGGTGATACTTCACATGTGTGATGTGATCACTATTTATATATGTGTACAGGCAGGGCTGGTGCTTCCACTAGGAAAATTAGGTGGCAGCCTAGGGCGCACTGCCAGCTAGGGGCACCTGAGTGCAGCACAGACCGGCACTCTCTCTGTGTGGGATGCCGCCGCATCATGAATGATCCTCCAGCTGATGGGAGGAGTGGCAGAGGGGAGGAAGAAAGGACAGAAGAACATATCTGGGGCATGTTCTACCAGTGTATAACCGTACGACCTTAAGACACAAAGTTGCCACACGCCAAATAACAGCACCCCGAGGTGTCACCAACAATATAGGGGAAGCGGCAGAGGAGGGAAGAAGCAGAGGAGGGAAGCCAGGAGATGCAGAGGAGGGAAGCGGATAATTGCATGGGAGCGGCAGAGGAAGAAATAAGCAGTGAGAGGAAGGAAGCCGGGGGAGAGGCAGAGGAGGGAAGCGGATAATTGCATGGTAGTGGCAGAGGAGGAAATAAGCAGAGGAGGGAAGATGGAAGAGGCAGAGGAGGGAAGAGGGTAATTGGACGGGAGCGGCAGAGGAGGAAATAAGCAGAGGAGGGAAGACGGGAGAGGCAGAGGAGGGAAGCGGGTAATTGGATGGGAGCGGCAGAGGAGGAAATAAGCAGAGGAGGGAAGACGGGAGAGGCAGAGGAGGGAAGCGGGTAATTGGATGGGAGCGGCAGAGGAGGAAATAAGCAGAGTAGGAAAGCCGGGAGAGGCAGAGGAGGGAAGACGGGAGAGGCAGAGGAGGGAAGACGGGAGAGGCAGAGGAGGGAAGACGGGAGAGGCAGAGGAGGGAAGCGGGTAATTGGATGGGAGCGGCAGAGGAGGAAATAAGCAGAGGAGGGAAGTCGGGAGAGGCAGAGGAGGTAACAGCCTAAGTTGTGACTCCCCCTTCAGTGCAAACTGCCCCAGGCCCCCACCATTACCCCCGATCCCCCATGCCCCCCCATGCCCCCCCCCATGCTGCACTGCTAGCAAGCTCTCCCTCCTCACCTTCTGGCCAGCTGCAGTGCTGACATTATTAATATTATTATCCAGGATTTATATAGTGCCAACAGTTTGCTCAGCGCTTTACAAAATGAAGGTAGACATTACAGTGACAATACAATTTGGTGCAAGAAAAAACAGAGGGACATCTGTCTGGATGGAGAGAGCGGGGTAAGGAGGAAGAGCACAGCTGTATGCTGCTCCCTGCACAAACCCTGCCTTCCGCAACCCCATCCCCTGTGGCACCCCCGATATCCCCCCCAATGCAGCACTGTTAGCAGGCTCTCCCTCTTCACCCTCCCAGCAGCGCTAACAGCTGTCAGGATGAGGGGAGGCTGGTCCTTTCCTTAATGAATACAGACAGTGGTCAGTACAGATTGTTTCTGAATTCTTTAATCACTGACACATAGTAAACTGTATTCACTGTGTCCGCTCAGGCTGCAGAGAAAGGGATTGCCTTCAGCGACATTAAAACTCAAAGCCCCCACCTCCCAAAAATGGAAAAAAAACGTTTAAAGGAAATAATTTAAAAAAAAATGTATTTGGTAATAAAAATAAAGTTGTTTAAAAAAAGTAAGGCTAGGTTCACACTAATTTTTGAGTACGTTCGATTTTCACCATTTTGCAAAAATTAGCAATTTTAAAATTTACAAATATTTGTTATTTATTAACTCAATACAGGGTACACTTTTATATTTAGTAGGAATTTAGCAGGAATTGTGTACAATTTGCTGTGTTTGTATCTGCTAATAAGGATTTTAGTGTATTTTTACTGAAAATATTGTTGTGAATAAAAATATTTCAGGGTCATAAAATTCAGTAGCAACTTCTTTTTATTCTACTAGTTATGTGCTTTCAAAAAAATATATGGTTTACGGGTCTTTTACAAACTCTGAAAGCTGTAAGGAAAAAAGAAATGATCAATGGAAAAATTACAAAAAGAGCCTGGCCACCTGTGTTTAAAAGTGGAATGCAGGGCCTGGCAGCAAAAGGGTTTAAAGGGAACAAAAACTGCTTTTGACTAACTGTACTCACTTTTTTTTTTACTATTTTTCGAATTGTTTTAGTTTATAAACTGATGTTATTGTATTATGTTCACCATGTCCTTGTCTACCTTTCCTACGATCTATGAGATCTAATAAATACAATATTGCATTCACCTACATAGTGACAAATTGCTCCGCATGGGATTTATTACAAACCATCTTTAGGCAGTTTTTGCACTAGTCTACTGCCATTTTGTTTTTCTGAAGTATTGCTGGGTGTATAATCCTCACTTAAATTAGAAGTGAGACGGAGATATTATAAGGATATAATTATATTCGACCAGGATGGCAATTTTTTTTCTATTTTATATTAGAGACCCGATTTCATGTTAGATTAGAAACTGTTAGGAAGGGACTAAAGCACAGAATAGAAAGGCGGACTTGAATTCCAGTGCCACACCGCTCCTGGTGGTGGGGACTGTATTCCAGGCTGGTTGGACAACAGTTGGACTGTATCCTGCTGATCTTCAGGTCTCTGACACATCATCCTCAGGGGCCCTTGCAACTGGACTTTACTGCAATATTCATCTGGAGGTAGCTAAATTAATTATATATATATATATACCTGGGTATGTGTACACAATTGCACCAGGACTTCTTTTAGGCCTTTTGCTGTTTGTACCTTGGATGTATGTACTATTATTCATCTCTTCTTATATAAAGTTTATGTTAATTCTATACTGGCGTGCATCTATAGGCTTATGGTTAATGGTATATGCTGGTTGCAGTAGTCCTTCTGCCCCCCCAATTACTTTGTTTAGATTACTGATGAATTTATTAGGAAGAGAATCCCCTCTGTTCACAGAGACCCTGTTCTGAGTGAAAGCACTACCAACTTAATCATGAAACCCTCTTTTCCAATTAGGCTGGCCATACACTACAATTTTCTGGCCAATTTCCTTTAGATTTAGCCTTCACTATGTAGTGCAAGGGCCTGCCTAATTGGATATAATTGAAAGTGTTGCTAGGTTTGACCTCACATTATATGCTTTTGGTAAATCTAAAGCAAAATTCTCAAGAAAAATTGTATAGTGTATGGTCAGCCTAAGTGAAGGTTCTGGTGCGCTTATTTACCTACAGGTTTAGCACCATTACTCATAACCCCCTAAAAGAAGCCTGCAAATGGATAAAATCTTACCAATATCCAAGAAAAATTGTCCTGGAAACAGGGGCGGACTGACAACTCATGGGGCCCCTGGGCAATAGGGGATCATGGGGCCCCTGTGTCCTTGCCCAAACTCAAAAGAGCCTATGAAAAGGTACCAGGGGCATCTCATGGGGCCCCCTACTGACCCTGGGCCCTCGGGCAGTGTCCAAGTTTCCAAATGGTCAGTCCGCCCCTGCCTGGAAATCTCTACAGTAAAAGAGTTTAATATGGCTCATGCTTCCTATCAAATGCCAAGAGGGAGTGTGTCAGGTCTGTACAATTTTGCCTGGATATTTGTGAGATCAATCCCTGGGGATACAAATTTAAACATACATATTCTGGTAGATTTACTGGTACACCATTACACTTTGGCCACCAGATGAGTCACTTTATTCAACCTAAAATTCCTACATATGTATTATTATCAGTACTATTGCCTTCATTACAAGCCTCAATTACACTAGTGCATGCAAGAAATTGGATTTGCTTTATCACCATCCTATAATCTGTTTCACCTTGTTGTGGAAATTTTACAAGGGCCATAGGCTGGCCATACATTATACAATTTTCTTTAGAAAATTTCACAAGTGTAATAAAAGCGCCACACCCTTAATACTTTAACCACTTGCCTACCAGGCACTTATACCCCCTTATTTACCAGGCCAATTTTGAGCTTTCAGCGCTGCCGCACTTTGATTGACAATTGCGCGGTCATGCAACATTGTACCCATATGAAATTTTGATCATTTTTTTTCTCACAAATAGAGCTTTCTTTTGGTGGTATTTAATCGCCACTGGGCACTTTACTTTTTGCGCTATAAATAAAAAATTGCCAAAAATTTGAAAAAAAAAGTTTCTTTGTTTCTATTATAAAATTTTTCAAACAGGTAATTTTTTCTCCTTCACTGATGTGCGTTGATGAGGCAGCACTGATGGGCACTGATAGGCAGCACTAAAAGGCACTGATAGGCAGTACTAATGAGGTGGCACGGATAGGCGGCACTGATAGACAGCACTAATGAGATGGCACTAATATGCAGCACTGATAGGCGGCACTGACAGGTGACACTGATGATGGGTACTGATAGACGGCACTGACTGGCATCACTGCTGGGCACTGACTGGTGGCACTGACTGGCACAAACCGCTGGGCACTGACTGGTGGCACTGACTGGCAGCACTGGTGGGTGGGCACTGGTGGGCAGCACTGGTGGGTGGGCACAGGTGGGTGGCACTGGTGGGCACAGGTGGGTGGGCACAGGTAGGTGGCACTTCTGGGCACAGGTCAGGGTGTGTGACATTGCAGATTGGCACAGGTGGGTGCACTGCTGGGCACAGATGGGTGCCCTGCTGGGCACAGGTGGGCGGAGCTAGTGGGCGCACTGCTGGGCGGAACTTGCGGGTGGCACTGC